GTTAGTTCTCCCAATCTAGGAGCATGGGAGGTTTTCCCACTTCCTTAAATCTGCTTTAATTTCATTTTTAAAGTTTTCATCATAGAGGTAAAAATATTACAGGAAGGGATAGGGGATATGCTAGGGGTCCTCAGCACAAGTTGAAACTTCCTAAATAAAGATCCAGAAACACAACACCTTAAAGAAAGGCTAGATAAATGGGATCACATTAAACTGCAGAGCTTCTGCATGGCAAAGGACATAGCTAGCAAGATAAATAGAAAGCCCACAGACTGCTAAGATATTCACTAATTATACAACAGACAAGGGTGTCATAATCTTAGGGCTCAAAAAATTAACCCTCCCAATAACAAATTTACAAAGAAACAGCCACCCCATTAATAAGTGGGCTAAAGAATTAAAAAGAGACTTCTTTGGAGAGGAAATAAGAATGGCCAACCCACACGGAAAGAAATGGTCAACATTGCTGGCCAGAAAGAAATGCATATCAAAACCATATGGAGATTCCACCTTACCCCAGTTAAAATGGCTATTATTAAGAAAACAAATAATAACAGATGCTGGTGGGGATGTGGCCAGAAGGGAAGACTATTACACTGTTGGTGGGAATGTAAACTGATTCAACCACTCTGGAAAGCAGTATGGAAGTTCCACAAAAGACTAAACATAGAACTCCTCTATGATCCAGCAATCCCATTCCTGGACATTTATGCAAATGATCACAAGCAAGGTCACACTAAACCTACCAGCACAACTATGTTCATTGCAACATTATTTACCATAGCTAAGATATGGAACCAACCCAGATGCCCCTCAATAGATGAATGGATTAAGAAAATGTGGTATATATACACAATGGAATTTTATGCTTTTATCAGAAAGAATGACATCACCCCCTTTTGTAAGGAAATGGAAAGCTTGGGAAAAAAATCATATTAAGTGAAGTAAGCCAAACCCAAAGAAACATAGGCTCTATGGTTTCCCTCATTTGTTTTTTGTTGTTGTTGTTGTTGTTGTTTTGGTCAGTTGTGGGGCCTGAGCTCTGGGCCTGGGCACTATCCCTCAGCTCTTCAGCTCAAGGCTAGCACTCTACCACTTGAACTACAGCACCACTTCCAGCTTTTTTCTGCTTATGTGGTACTGAGGAATCGAACCCAGTGCCTTATGCATGCAATGCAAGCACTCTACCACCGAGCCACCTTCCCAGCCCTGTTTCTCTCATTTGTAATAATTAGTATATGCCTAGGATAGTCCTTGCAGAGAATCATAATAGCTCAATAGCTATATACATATGACCATACAAAATGATGCTAATTGAAATGAACTCCAAGACATGGAAACAACAGGAAACTTTTTTTGTTGTTGTTGCCTTTGTTGTTGCCAATGTACTATATTTAGTTCTTCTTATTTTATTTATTTTTTATTTTTCCATTGGTTTATCCCTGTCATTCACTATCTTTGGTTCTGGTACCGTGCGTCTTGTATATACATGTATCTGATTTGGGGAAGGGAAGGGGAATAACAAAATACTGAAAGAAGGACAAAGGGTGACCCATTGCAACAACAACACTCACAAGACACTATGTGGGAAATGAACTTTACAACTCTGGGGGTTGGGGTGAGGGAGTGGGGGAGGAGAAGGGTAGGGGGAGAGGAAAGGTGGGGGAGGGAAGGGATAGTGGGAGAAAAAGGAGTGGGTAACAATGTTCTACAAGAAATGTACTCATTATTGTACGCATATACGGTACAGCATCTTTACAATAAAAATAAATACATAAATAAAAAGCAGTGATATGAAAAAAATCAGGTTATGAAATTCTTTGTGCAAGAAGCTGACACTTGTGTACTCTTTAAAAAAAAACTTTTTAATTTAAGAAGTAATATATAAAATGCTTGAATTGTTGGAGCCAGGTGCTGGTGGTTCATACTTGCAATTCTAGCTATTTAGGAGGCTGAGATCTGAGGATTGTAGTTCGAAGCCAGTCTGGGCAGGAAAGTCCATGAGATTCTGATTTTCAGTTAACTACCAAAGAGTCTAAAGTGGAGCTGTGGATCAAGTGGTAGAGCACTAGCCTTGAGCAAAAACAAAGAGCTCAGTGACAGTGCCCAGGCACGTGTACACACACACACACACACACACACACACACACACACACACACACACACACACACACACACACACACACACACACTGTAGTTCTTTACCAGAAAGACTTGAAACTTTTATAGACTGTAAACAGTGAATTTGCATTTTCTAGAACATAGTATATTTCTTAAATAATACTATAAAAATCTATTTCATTGCTTCAGTTTTATGCCATAATGGGCCCATAAGATATATGCCATCAGACTCTATTTAGAAAAATTTAAAATTTAATTATTCCTTGAGTTTCTTTGGTTTCTTAATATAATAAAGTGTATATGACAGATGTTATAGCCTTTCATTTTGTATCCATATTACAGCAAACTTTGGCATTTGCTTTCTTTCTTCATGAAAGGGTTAAGACTTATGACTTGTGCCTTTATAAACCTCTTGTTTTCTGCATTTGCAGTCACATATCAAAATGGTAAAGTGTTTATTTTAAATGACAAGAAACAAAATATTTTAAAGTTTTTTCCCCTGACACATAGTAACTCAGCATGCATGGCATAAATCAAATTCATATTGATTGCTCCATGAAGCCTCTGAATTTTCAGCAGAAACCATAAAATAAACTGATCAGTTAAGATACCCAAATGGTATGAATTTGGTGTTAATGATTCAGTTGAGGTTTCAGTTTTTCTTCAAGTATCTGAGAATTCTGGATCTCGTCCTAGAATTGATTCTGAGAGGATGAATGAATTTGCAGCTGGACTAAGACAAGGCTGGAAGGTTGCTTTATGAGTTATACATCTCTAAACTGTGTGACTTCAGAAGTTAGATCTGGAGAAAGTTGGTGTTGGGATAGGAATAATATACAAAACATGTAGCAGGCAGGAGTTACTATGTAAAAGATTATCTCTCTTGTTAGCAGAGTTCTTTTAGAGATTGGGGCAAGATAGCACATTGACCAAAATGATGGCTTGCACTTGGCTTTTTGTTTGTTTGTTTGTTTTTGTTGGCTGTGGGGTTGAACTCTGAGTATGGGCGCTGTCCCTGAGCTCTTTTGCTCAAATTTGCTCAAAGTTAGTGTTCTACCACTTTGAGCCACAGCGCCACTTGTGGATTTCTGGTGGTTAATTGGAGATAGGAGTCTCACAGATTTTCCTACTGGGGCTGGCTTTGAATTGTGATTCTCAGATCTCAACCAGCTGAATAGTTAGGATTACAGGCATGAGCCACCAGTACCTGGCACACTTGGCTTTTAAATGCTGTTAGGAATTGTTTTATCTATGCAACATAAGCTTCACCCTTGGAGATTTCTACTGCCAGACCACTGAAAGAGGATCTCAATTTGTGCACTTTGTGTCATTCTGTAGTCAGGCACTGAGCAGAGTGAAAGAAATCAGGTATTAGCAGAGAGTGATGCCTCATTAAAGGGATCACTTTTGATTGAGTAGAGCAGCATTTAGCCTAGTCCTCCTTAGTGGTATTGCTGAAGTCACTGAGCTTATTTTTCCTATTAATCATATCATCTGTGAGCATTCACGAATGTCTATTTAATGCGGACATGACCAGTCATCAGAGAGAATACATGCCTCACTAAAGCTTGATATGGCTGACTTGGCCTTGTAGATGGTGACACTGAATCAATCTATCTGGATTTTTAAAAAGTTTGCTAGTATACTATACCAACACAGATTGACCCAGTTGTTTCTTAGATCTTACACAGGCAGTAAAGCAAAAATAAAACAAAACAAAAAAACCTAAATAAATACGTAGCATCCTGTGGGTGGTTTAAAATGCTAGGTTTCTTTTGTGGAGCCAGTAGTGCAATATCATTTATTGATTTGCAATCCTTGCTGAAATTTAAAGTCATGAAATTCAGGAAAACATGGGACTCAACACATTGAGTCTGTGCACACTTTGGCCTATAGACTTTCTGCTTTGTTTCAGGTATATAGATTATACATCCCAGTGTACTTCAGAAATGACATGTTCTAAAAAGAAGAATAAAAGTTTCTCTGAGCCACAGAGAGATGGTTAGAATATATAGTTTTCCTAGTTCAAGCTACGAGGTTCATGGCATCCTTCTGGACAAGTTAAGGCACACTGGAGCATAACTGTGATGAGATCAGTAATACACACAGGACTATATTTTGCTCCCAGATAAGTTAATAAAAATGGTCCCTGGGTATAAGGTATCAAATCTGTCCAACTATACTCATCCCTTTAAAACTTTGATATCTATAATAACAGTAATAATATCCCACATTTATAGTTCAGAAAGTGGTTTCATGCATTATCCAAAATTTGGATTGGCTCGTAATGTTAAAAGACAATCATAGTGACCTTGTAAAATTAATAAAGCATTTAAACATTAATTAAGAATATTTTTACAAAGGGAAAAATTGGAAGGAGAAACTTGTAACCTATTCAGCTTTCTATATGGGGTAGTGGTTGTCAAGTGATGAATTATTTTTCTTTGTTGAAATTTTGCTTTGTCAGAGATGAGAAGTCATGTTAATAAATAACACCTGAATAGATAATAAGTCTAATCTGAAATACAAAATAATTGTTTACATTTTCAAATTTTTTTCTTAGCTATTTTTATGCTTTTCCTTTCAGTATTTTTGTTAGTGTGGGAAACAGGTTTTGCAGAAGAATATGCTAAAATAAGACTTTTATTTGCAAGGAAAACTGGCAAATATCTTGTACTTATTATCTTTAAATTGCAAATCTCTGAAGACTTGTCATAATTGGACGAGTCATTCTGTGATTTAAATGCATTGAATTTTGAACATGATTTGTAAAATGAGCTCTCTTCTAGGGAAAGCGGGACAGGGAGAGCACTAAACAGAATTCTTTTAAAATAATTATTGATTATAGAAGTAAGTTATAGTTTATGCTTCTCTTTCAGAATTTTGCAGAAAATACCATGAATGAACTCCTTGGCTGGTATGGCTATGATAAGGTTGAATTAAAAGATGGTGAAGATATAGAATTCAGGAGCTATCCTACAGATGGGGAGAGCCGGCAGCACATTTCTGTTCTCAAAGGTAATGACATTCAATGTCCCTTTGTTAGTGCAAAGTAGGATTAACTATCTCAGCCTTCCAGAATTGCTTTTGGACTCATTTTGTTGACTATGCCTGTGAGTTTGTTTGTTTGTTTTGTCGGTTGTGGGGTCTGAACTCTGGGCCTGGGTGCTGTCCCTCAGCTCTTCAGCTCAAGGCTAGTGCTCTAGTACTTGAGCCACAGCTCCACTTCTGGCTTTTTCTGCTTATGTGGTGCTAAGGAATTGAACCCAGGGCCTCATGTATGCAAGGCAAACACTCTACCACTGAGCCACTTTCCCAGCCTCTGTGGTTGGTTTAATGTATATTCTACACATTATAAGAGGACAACATAAACAAAAATATACATAGGTTCATCTCCTTCCAGCAGTGAAAAAACTAAACGGAGGCTTAGAAACTTAAATGTTGTGATCTGCCCACAAGTTCATAAAAAGAGACAAATACTGTGGACCCCCAGTTTCCTTTATCTTTTGTGCATATGATCAATTGCTGGGAGCTGGGATTTTCTGTTAGGTGCCAATGGTAGATGTGCATTTTCAGAAAGAGTCACTGTTGTTTGGGTGACCCTTCTCCCTTGATTTGGGGTAGGAATTCCAAAGCCTTATTTACATTTAGTACTTGAAGTTTTCACTCTTTTCCTACCACCAAACCCTTCAGTAGGGTAAGAGGAGAAAGAGAGTAGTAGATTAGACCTTGTACTTTCTATAAGAGTATTTATGAAAGCCCAGCTAAAGAGTGGTACATAAAGAGGAATGTCAGAGTAGAATTTATACTGATTCTACTAGTAGACAGCATTCTCTGATATCTAATGCAAAAGCTTGTATGACTACTGAATTAATGAACCTAAATTTGAAATGAACATTTGTTTGGAAGCGAAAAGAGAAGGAGCGTGTGAAAAAGCAGTTCATTTGAGGAATTTTAATAAAATGTGGGTAAAACTAATTGTGCATCATCATTGGCAATTTGTTCAGTATTTATATTACATCCAAATTTATTGGCACAATACCTGCTCAAGCATTTTGTTTCCAGACTTTAAGATAGCGCTTTTTCCCCCTTATATATGCAGCAAAATGTAAATGAGCTGTCCTGCAGGCATGTGGAACTGGATGTACATGACAGATTTTATGTTAAGTTTGCTATGACATTGAACACATCATGCTAGGAAAATAGTATAATCAATCTCACTGTAACTAAAAATGCAAGTCACGAGTGTATATTCTATAAACTAATAACATAGGTAATTATCTTTGGCTCTGGGGAACATGGAAAGAATGACTGCTATGTTTTTTGTGGTTGAGGCTTTTTTTTGGGCGATCATTTGCTTACAAGGATACTATGCACAAAGGTTTCTTTATTTTCATTTTCATTAATTTTTAGTGGGCTTTATCAATACCTAGTGAATGGCAGTTTTCTTCTAGGTCATCATCTTTGCTTATATTATAGTCTGAGTTTGTAATACAGTGGGAGTTACAATGCCGGGGTACATTCTTCAGACTTTTCTCCTGGAAGCTAGGAAGTGATTTTTACTGTATATTACTTATACATGGAAAAGGTTAATTGCCTTTTAATTTTTTTATGGAAATATAGTGTTAAAATTCCTCACCATGATTCAGCTTGGATATTAGCTATCATAGTGGAGCAAATTATAAAGGAATTCATTGGAAAGTGTTGATAACAAGACCAGAAAGTTCCAGAACTGACTATGGAGTTCTGGTAAGCTGTTTAAAGGTTTACAAGGATTTTTTTTCCAGTAGACAATCATTTCACTCAAGGAAATGAGGAAAAATCTTCAGTCTGATAAGTAAGCTATTTTGTCATATGTCACATAATTTTGTTTTCTCTTACAGAAAATTCTTTGCCAAAACCAAAATTACCTGAGGACAGTGTTATTTCACCATACAATATAAGCACAAGCTATTCAGGGCTTGCCACTGGAAATGGACTCAGTGACTCACCTGCAGGATCAAAGGATCATGGCAATGTGCCTATTATTGTACCTTTAATTCCGCCACCTTTCATAAAGCCACCAGCAGGTAAGCACCACTGGGGTTCCCATTGATGATGATTCCTAGACAGCTATTTTAATTATCTTATTAATAACTATTACAACTTAGATAATAATTTTGATAAAGACTGTTTTAAGAACTCTGTAGATAAGAGATATCATGGTATATATTATTCAAAATATTACTGTTATTGTTGGGAAAATTCTCTCTCTGTTAATACTTAGGCTTTCAAATAACTGTAAACCTTTTCTATTACCAGCTTGCAAAAATTATTTTCCTTCTCTGAAGTCATTATTCTTCTTTCTGAAAACAAGGAAATATTTCTGTTCTTTTTTAAAAAACAAGTATATATGATGGCTGGTTAGCAAGAGAAGAAGGTAACTGTGGTTGAGCTGGGTGGTACATATGGAGGGCATGGTCTCCTGGGGTTTCTGAGAAAAGGAGTAATTTTGTACAAGGACATGTGGCATGCATGTTCCTCAACATGTTTTTCTTTAAATCCATTCAAGAAACAATTTACATTATGCATCATCTCCACAGAGTTCTTTCTAATTCCTGGAAAGCTGTCCTTGAGAACTTAAAAAAGATGGAGATCTGAATTCCAATTGCATGAAAATGTAATCAGTTCTTTTATATTTCCAGAAAATTAGATGGCACTGCGTTAGATCTAGATGGCAATAGGTTCTGAGCATATAATATTGTAAGCTAGGCTATGATACATTTCACACAGAGGGAAAAGTTAACATTGTTGTCTCTGCATGCTGTAAAATGTTGGAATTGTGAAAGGATGCTTAATTGTGATTACAATAATAATACTTATTTTAGCATACTAAAGCAAATGCTTACTTTATAAGGAAAGACAGGTATTTGATTATTTTTCTATCAACAGTGAAGATGTTTACAGAAAAAGTTCCTGGTTTGTATTTTATATATATATATATATATATATATATATATATATATATATATATGTGTGTGTGTGTGTGTGTGTGTGTGCATGTATATATCTATATATATATATATATGTGGATGTTATAATATAGATATGCTTACATAGTATTCTAAGTCTGATACTTTCCTTCATGCTTGTAACCACATTTTCTTCTTGTCCTACTACATTTAAAAAATAAAAATTTCCTTTCACACTAAAGGTTTTACATGTATTAAAGTCACTTATAATTGTATTTTTCTACTAAATACTAAAGTAATTGGTGTATCATATAAAGTTTGTCTTATTAGTGCCTCTATTATTTATTTTGTGATACAGAGAGGCCCAAATTTATCTCTAAAAGAGCAAAGATATCTTTTGCATAGGTCAACTTGGGCAAAAATGTAGCTGAGTTTGTAAACGTAGAATTTATGTTTAACTGTGTGTTCTGTGGCTTAGGTAAAGAGTGATGATGAGCAGGAATTTAAGGTAGTATGACCAAGTAGTAGACCAGAAAGACTGGGTGTCAATCCAGGTTTTGTCACATACCAGTTCTGAACATCAGTGCTCCTCATTTGTTTTCTGAAATGTAAAATGGGAGTCACAGACCTGCTTTATAGGGCTGTTGGAAGTGAGATGAGGAAATGTATGTAAAGCCCCTCACATAATACCTGCCACGTAGCAAGCACCATACTTCTTTTTCCTCTTTTCAGTCCTAATTCTGCCCTAGAGTTACCAGGTATATAATTTGTGCATAAAAAGGTGTGCATCCAAATGCAAATTCATCTCTAAGATTTATTTGAGCAAAGCAAACAGCTTTAGAAATTAGCATAGCTGAAGCTAACATGAGTTTGGCATGCCAAAAAACCTGCCCTGGTGTTTCCTGCTGAGCCAGCCACATAGAATTCAAGCACACAGCTCCTATTTAACTCTAATTCCACATCAGATCAGGAAATAAATAGGCAAAAGGACAGAGGCCAAAAATCGAGCTTTGGAAGTCTTAACCGTAGGAACCCAGAGGAATTAGAAGCCAGAGTAACTGAATACCAGTGGTTTTATGCTGTCTTCTGTGGAACTCCAAGGCACTCATCTGTGGAAAACAAAATGTAGGAAAGGACGTCTTTAATTTTCTGTATCTGCTCAAAACTTTGACTCTTTCTACCATGAGGTTTCATATGACAAGACAAAGAAAAGTTTTCTGCTTTCTAGGCACTCTTAACAGAGAGATAAATTCTGATTTAGTCATGCATCTAGGACAGAGGGCAGATAGTACTTCGGGCTTTGCAGGCCATAAGATTGCTAATGAAACTACAGAACTCTGTTGCTGTAGTATGATGGCAACCATACATAGTGCATAAACCAATGGGTGTGACCGTCTTACAATCAAATCTTACTCATACAAAAGGCAGCTGCAGGGTTTTACCCACAGCTTTCTGATGCTTGTGCTAGGATAAGGTTATCTGAGTCTTATGGTAAAAGGAAGGTGACTAGAGCTTCAAAGTCAGACATTTGACTTGGTAAGGTGTCCTGTGATGCCCCAAGAAGAAGCTAAGAAAAAAATAAGGGCAAAGTAAGAGAGTGCTTTGGGGTATTTAGTGTGCTTTGGTACGGCAATATTGGTTGAATGATTGACTGATGTTAAATTCTTATTCTACACATTAGTTAAATGATTTACTGAGGAAATGTTACTATTTTGTTTGCTTTATTGTTCATTGAGAAAATACAAGTGTTTTGTCTGGAGTGATGCCAAATTGTCTGACCTTGACCACAGCTTCCTTGACAGTGAAGTGAGGATTCCGTTGCTCTTACTCTTTGTGGATAAGTCATTATCAAAAGTTTTCATTAATTAATCATTTTAACTGTTCCTTTGCTAAAACTTCAACAGTTGTTCTCAAGGCCACCGAATTATACATTTCTTGTCAATTTTCCTGCCTTATATGGAGTAATGTGCGTTCTTTAAGGGAACTAATAAAGGGCACAGTGGCCAGAAGCTAATGTTCTGCTAATCAGCTCCTAGATAATTTACAACTATATCTTTGTTAATGTCTTCCTCTCAGGAAAAGAAAGATGAGGATTACGTGTATGCTTTGCATTCTTATGTTAAGGCCCAAATTATTCCTGTTGTACTGCAAGCTATGTGAACATGCTAGTAATAATTCCTTATGTTTGTGTGACATTCTTTATAGTTTTTGAAACTCATTGCATTCTTTAATTCAGTCTTGGGAAATTATCATTAACGAACTGAAATTCAAGAACTAAAGTTCTTAAGGTCATACAGCTTCTAAGTACTTGAGTTAGGACTACTACTAAAGTCTTCTGACTCCAAATCCAATATTCTTTTGATATAAAGTTGCCTTTTTAGCATACTCCTACAAAACTATCCTAGACTATCAGAATAATAATGCTTATTAACATGCTACTTCCAGGTTCCCTGGTGACAAGGAGGCAGAGTTTCTTCCTGAAAAAGCTTTTTTTGTTGTTTTGTTTGTTTTGTTTTGGGGCCAATCCTGGGGCTTGAACTCTGAGTCTAGGCACTGTCCCTGAGCCTCTTTGTACTCTAGTCTTTGTGCTCTAGTATTTGAGCCGCAGCACCACCCTCAGCTTTTTCTGAGTAGTTTATTGGAGATAAGAGTCTCATGGACTTTCCTGCTAGGGCTGGCCTTGAACCATGATCCTCAGACCTCAGCCTCCCAAGTAGTAGGATTATAAGCATGAACCACTGGCACCCAGCCTAAAAAATATTTTTGAAAGACCACATCATTATGAGATTTGATGAGTCCTTTGCTAACTTTATGAACCTGTTAGTCTGATGGTGGTAAAATCCTAGCTTGGTTTTTAAGTCCTTATTGTCATTTGACAACTGCTTTTTTTTGTAGAGTACAAACACTCCATCTGGTCAGGCACTGGTGCTACATGTGCTCATAGCAAGCTCACCACTGGATCCCATTCATGGCTTGGCTGCTGGCGGGCCCAGTGGAATACTTGTGACTGGGAACACAGTGATAACACATTTGCTTCTTTTGCACAGCTGCATACAGAAGTGTGGGTGTAGCTTACTTCTGGGTCTAGGGAACTGCTTTTTTGGTCTTACTACCCATTTTTACTGGAGAAGGGAAGTTCCCTGTGTTTTGATGCTTACCACAGAACTGACCCAGCTTTGGCCTTGTATGTTTGTGTTCATCTTCCTAGACCAATCTGCCCTTCCCTTCCTCCTAACCCCCTAGATGGCCTCTTGAGCCTTGGTGTACTATCTGTGACATCATAGGTGTTACTATGGTAATAGACTTGTTATGAACACAGGATAATAGTCCTGACTTTGCTTTGCTTTCCCCCCACATTTGGTGAAGGGAATTACCCTGATCTTTAAATAATAACCACAGACTTTTCTGCAGACTGTAGGCAGTAGGCAGTGATTAGAATAAGCAGCAGAGAAACCATTTAAAAACTGTTACAAGAATATTAGAAAATAGGGGCTGGGAAGGTGGCTCAGTGGTAGAGCGTTTGCCTTGCATGCCAGAGGCCCTGGGTTCGATTCCTCAGCACCACATAAGCAAAAAGAAAAAAGCCGGCAGTGGCGCTGTGGCTCAAGTGGTAGAGCGCTAGTCTTGAGCTGAAGAGCTGAGGAACAGCGCCCAGGCCCAGAGTTTAGGCACCATGACCGGACCCAAAAAAAAAAAGAATATTAGAAAATAATAAAAGCATTGACCAACTCTGGTGCAAATATACCTTTACCCTTTTAGTTCAAAATATGAAAATCTTCTCTAATTTTCAAAACCATGTAATGTACAGAGTCTGAAGTAGAAAAAAATGTTAGGAAGAGTTTTGAGTGTTCAAGTTAATAATATTGTCACCTTTCTGTAATTTCTTTCATACTAGAGTTTGTGTGTGGGTGTGGCTGTGGCTGTGCACATGCGCACGCTTGTCCTGGGCATTGAACTTAGGGCTACTCTACCACTTTAAGTCACAGCACCATTTCTGGCTTTTTGGTAGTTAATTGGAGATAAGAGTCTTAAGGACTTTGAATCTCCACCCTCAGATCTCAGCTTCCTGAATAGTTAGGATTATAGACATGAGCCACCAGAAACTGGCTATATTAGAG